CCGACGCGGGGCTCGAACTCACGGACCGCGAGATCGTGACCTGGCTGAAGTCGGACGCTTAACCGACTGCGCCACCCAGGCGCCCCAGGGTGAATCTCTTCTACAATCATGTCCTTCCTCGGACCAACAAAACTATTCAGTAGCTTTTTCTTGTTGGCAGGAGGAAGTTAACTCCTTAGCTCCACATTTCCTGTCTTCTTTAACCTGGCCTCTGTGTATCTGCCTCATCTTACCTCTTGCTTTCTTTACCCTCATTTTTAGTAAATACAAAATTACATGCAGTTCCACAAAAATGCTTTATGTTGTTAAATGGGCTCTTGGCTTATGACATCCTCTACTCAACTTTTTGTCAAGCTCTGTTTCCTCATGGTGACATTGCTTCCCATGTTTTAGCCATCTCTGCAACACCTACTCACACAGAGCCTTCCTTCCCTGTCTCTGTTTTGGATGGCATACAGTGGATGTTATTGGGGCAAATGCTCCACCCATTGCCTAGCATCCCCAAGTTCGGCTATTTTAGGCTCTCACACTGGAAACTAAATTAAAAGTGAGACTGGTTAACCCTGAGGTTATGTGGAACTGGGGTGCCCTCTACTGCTTTGCAGAAGTGTAACTATGTTCCTTTATGTCATTCAATAAAAGGGCAAATATTAATGGAATAAATGGGAATTCAGTTGATAGATCATTATTCCTCAGGGCAAACACTGAATTGTATATTAAAATAAACATTTTAGTTTATTTTAGAGACTGTGTTATCATTTTATCACAGGGAGACGGTATCTAAGCCCCATGCTTGAATACAGTTTTAAAGTTTAGATTTTACTTAACAATGTCCATATATTCAATAATATGTACTGAAATTAAAACTGATAAAAAAAAACTTACCCAAAATATGGAAATTTTTAAAATAATTCATCAAAAGAATATAAATTCACTTATAGTTATATTTCATTATTTGTCCGTGACACCTTGATAAGGTATTATTGTGAAGAATTAATGTCTGTAACTCTCACTAATCCAAAAGTAATTCCTGGCATATCCACAAATTTTTTTTTTTTGCATAAATTTCTGAATGGCTTTATTTCATAATCTGTAAACTTTTGGATTCACTAGTTTTTTGAACTCTTTCATTTACCCTACGATGTTTAATCCTGAGAGAAGAGCAGCTATCACAGGTATCTCCGAACCTAGAATCCTAACACCTAATAGGTGAGAATTACATTAAGTTGATTCTGATTGTTTTTAATTTAATGATTTTGACCATCAACAAACTGATCAGTGTTATCTCTTTTGAAAAATTAGAAAATGAAGAAATGTATGTGTTCAAGTTAACCAGTTTAGAACCAGAATTTCAAATAAGCCTTTTATGTAATTTGTATTTCATGTAGAACCACTAGAATCAGAATGATTTAATACTGTGGCTAAATGTATGTTCAGAATAACACCTCTTGTATATTTGCAACATTCATACCATTTTATGTCCTATTCAGAAATATATTTACAGTTACTTATTTTTGGAGAATCTTGGAATTTTTGAAATGTGTAAAAGTACCAGCAGGTAGCTTAGATTTGGAATACAGAGTATTAGGCATAACTGAAAAATACAGTGACTTCACACACTGAAAGGTTAAAGATCCTTTCTGAAGCAGAGTTAGAAATTTGTCTTTTCTCACAATTATTCTGTTAAGTGACTATAAACAATGCAGTGTCACAAAAGATACAGGATAATAGTATAAATCTCATCGTGTTCTTGTGGTTTAACTTTAAATCTTGAACATTTTCTCCTGGAGGCTTTCATAGTCAAGAGGCATCCACCTCCTGGGTAAACAAGATGCTGCAATCTTAAATTTAAGGAAGGTGCTTGCTTTTGCATCCATCTTGTTTTGTCGCTTGAAGGGGACCTTATTTCCTTCCAGTTGTCATTAGTGCCACCTCTTTGCTCTGCACCACTGAGACAGAGACAGACATACTCCTACAAACCCCAGTGTTGAAGCCCTTGTGTGCATGGGTGCAGTGCACCCATGTCTGGGTCCTAGGAGCGCTCCTTGGCGAGCTTCCTCCACTCAACCCCAGGCCTATTCTCAGGTCTTCAGACCCACAGCCCCTTGTCATTGACAAGCGGCTTCTTGTCAAGAAATAACACTTCAGGAAAAAACAAACAAACAAACAAAAGCCAAATGTATACTGCAAGTAGGTAAGGGTTTAATTCTAATTTAATCCAGTTTTGCTCTGGCTTTCCCTCCTGTAGCAATGAATTGCAGATAAAATTATTTTTTAAAAAGCCTCATAAACGGGTTTATTTCTAAAGAGAATAGGAGATGAGGACATGGAGGATTGTGTTGAAGACTGAGTAAGGACACCAGGTTGGGGAGATGCTCAGCGTTGGACTTAAAAAGAATAACTCCCAGCACTGGCCCTGGCTACAGCCTTGCTGACACTCCCTTCCCAGTTCTTCTGTAAAAACGGGAAACCAGTGGTTATTACACAGGCACCCAGTATGTTCCTGAAAGCCATCAAGAAACTTCAGAAGTATGGCCTATCCCAAACCAGGCCAAGCCTCTGGCGCTGAACCCTTCCCCCTCTGTTGAGCCGGCCCGAGGGCGCATTTGGTGAGAGTCTGGCGGCCTCTACCGGAGCGCCTCTGCAGAGGAACGTTCTTCAATCCCAGAGACGACATGTGGCGCTCAGGAGAGGTGAGAGCGAGCGCGAGAGTGCACTGGGGGCGCGGGGGGATCTGCAACCGGGCAGCGCGCGGCCTCGGGCGCGGCGCAGAGCGGGGCCGCAGGGCGGCGGCGGGAGCGCGGGGCGGCTGATCCGCTCGGCCCAGGAGAACTGGGCAAGTTCGCGCTGGCAGCATGGGGCGGTGACGCCGCACCGGCCTTCCGCGCCTGCCAGCCGGGGGAGAGGAGGAGGAGGAGGAGGCGGAGGAGGAGGAGGAGGAGGCGGCGGCGGAGGCGGCGGCACCCTCGCCGACGGCTTGCCTCCCCGGCAGTGGGGTAAGAAGATGCGGTCGAGGGTGAGAGGAAGGGCGGCCCCGGCCGGGCACGCATCCCTCTCCTCCGGGCTCCGGAGCCTCGAACTGCAAGGCTGGAGATGGGAGGTGGAGAGCAGGCGGGGCGCCTGGGGCAGCCTGGAGCGCAAACTTTCCCCCGGCGACTGCGGGGGCAAGGCAGAGCGGGAGGGCAGGGGCGGCCTGAGCTGTGCAGCTCTGCCGGACGGGGCACCAGGGCGCAGCTACCGCGGGCCCGCCGGTAGGACTTGGGGGGTGGGGACACCCGCCGCCGTCCCTGGAGCCGGAGGGGCGAAATTGCCCACCTGGAGGGCCCCGCCAGCCTCGGGGCTCTGAGGCGCGTGGTGTCCCGGAGCTGCTGGCGGGGTGGGCGCGGACTCCGCGGGGGTGTAGCGGGTGGGTCGCGCGGGCTTCTTGAGGCCGGGGGTCTCAGAGCCGCCGCTGCAGCACGCGTTTCTCGCTGAGGAGGCTCAGACCTGAGGCTGGAGCAGGGGAGAGTACGAGGGCCAGCAAAGAGCCGGGAAGGGTCGGCGAGACTGAGGCGCGGGGCGCGCTGCTGCGGACAGGGCGGGAGGCCGACCCTGCCCGGCCGCCGGCGCCAGGGTGGCCAGGCTGCGGCTCCGCAATGCTGCCCCTGAGCCCACCTGCGCCCGCAAGATCCCGCCGCGGTCAGGGGACCGTGGGAGCGGAGCCTCTCTTTGGGGGTCCTGGATCAGGGCTGAGGGCAGTAGGAGGCGCCGCCGGGGCTTCCCGCATGCAGCGCGGAGTGCTCGCCGCCCCGACTCCGGCCCGGGTCTGGCGACAAGGCTCAGGACACGCGCCCAGGAGACCACCGCATGGCACCCTGCCCTTCTTGACACGAGGGCCTTCGCTTCTGAGGTGGAAGTACCTGTTGTATGTTTCCCAGTTCCGGAGTTTGTCTGGGGTCTCCTTGGGAAAATGTTCCTTGTGAACACGCGGTGTTCCTCTATCATGTGCACCTATTTGCGTTATGCGCATATTGAGAAATATGTTCTTTCGCTAAGGTTAGTTGCAGAGCCCAGGGACTGTGCCTGCCTGGACTTCAAATGCATTAATTAGGGCCCGGCACAGAGCTGAGAGACTACCCCAAATGGAAGGATTATTAACTTATTTAGTTATGGGGACAGAATGCTGAGAATGTGGCAACCCTCTTTTGAAAGCAGTTCTTATATTATCGTGATCCTATAGAAGCTTTGTTTCTTAAATGTGCCTTTTTTCCCCTCTTTCCACATACTTTCTCTCAGCACATTGCAGAACAAGGAGTAGCTTGCTGGCTTTGAACGCGTGGCAAATATTCAGAAAGGTAAAATGATTCCACTTGTGGATTTGACAAATGCAAAATAAGTTGATCAGATAACTTCAGATATTTGTTCTAATAATAGGACTAATCGGTCATTTGATAATAAGCTGAAAAGTAAAACAAAGTAAAACGTGGAAAAATAAATTAGGAGAATGAGTCTGCACTCTGAGTAAAAGTAGAAAGAAATTAAGACATATTGTAACTCCTTTCCATGTCCCAACTTACTGCCCAGTGGACATAGGTAACAACCTGCTGTGGAGCCGTACTGGGGAAGGACAGCCAGGTTCCTTTCTTTGTAAACTGTGCATACTAGCAGTAGGATATGATTTCAGGAATGGGCACAAAAAAATTCACATTATATGCTTTTCCCTGTTGTGTACCTTTCAGCTTCAAGATCAAGTTGAAGAAAGGAACCGTTATTCCAAATTCATCTGCTTCGACTATTATTCTCATTGGGAATGGACAATGGAATGTTTTCTAGCTTTATCATGATCAAAAACCTCCTTCTCTTTTGTATTTCCATGAACTTAGCCAGTCACTTTGGGTGAGTTACCATCTATCTTTTATTTTATGGTTTTCAGTGCACAAGTGCCTTTAAGACACTTTGCTGAGTAGTACATCAACAAACCCTCACTTGCCGTCTTTGCAGTCCCCTGCCCTTCAGTTTATTGTAAATAAATAGAGTCCTTGTCCTATACCACACTGTCATTTTGAGCAAGGCTGTGCCACGTTTGGGGTCTCTGAAGTGAGTCAGAGAAAAGAGGCAGATTATGTTTTCAGAAATGGAGGCTGAGGTGGTTTCAGAATCAGCTGTGTTTTCTTCTACTTAGGTTAAAACAAGATTCATAAGCTCGCAGGCATAAAGGAGTTACTGCTTGTTGGACAAGACAATGTTCAATGTTTTGATTGCCCTCCTTGGTTCCATTATGCAAAGGGATTGCCTTTAAAGGCAAGCCCACGCTATGTGGAATTGACAGGACTTGGCAGCGGTTCTCGCCTGATCCAAAGGCCTTTAACTGTAGCCACCTGAATGCAAGTGGAGACACTAGAAACTACGCGTGTCTGAAGGTCTGCAAGACACACCTGGGCATAGGGCATTATCGATTCCTTTAAGCTCTTTCATTTCAGCCTTAGTATCAGGGTACACATTCTATGATTTTTTTCCATCAAACTAGCGATAACAGACATTCCAGGTAAATGTTTGTATAGGTGCTGATATTCCTCCACACTTTTCTCCTCCCCAAAACTGTTCCAGCTAATCAAAAGGATTGTAACTTGAAGTTGATGGACCATAATTAATAAATTAAATTTAATGACAAAAGTTGCCAAGCACTTGTTCTGTAAAAATCAGCTCCAAAAATTCCACAGTGTATTCTGCACTGATGTAAATCAGAGAAGGATCTTAAGCACACAGTGGCTCTGCTACCCAGAGACCCCTCTGGGCCACACCTCTCTGGCCATTAAGGAAGACCCTCTTAAGGTACATGACATTCTCTGTCCTCTGGACATTTTCTTCTCTTCTGACATTTCCATGTCTCTACCGAGGAGTGAGGTTTGTGACCATCCCCACATGGGGACCGGTACCCAGGTCAGTGAGGGGCATGCCTGTCCCTCAGCACGGGACATGCCTATGTTGCAGCCCTTTCAGCCATTCAGAGTATTCCCTTGGAACAGAGCATTCATTGTTATTCTTGCTTTGCTGCTCCTCTTGAGTGGACACCTTGCCTGCCCTGCCCTCAGTTTCCTTATCTGTTCAATGAAAATTTTCCTTTCCAAAGTCTCTTCCATCTGTTAAGTCCTATAAAGTATGTTGTTCCAGGTGTTCCCCTGAATGAAAGCTGCGTAAGTAAAATCATAACACAGTGCTTACATTTCCAAGTTAATACATTAGGTAGTATGTTTACTGACATACTGCATATATTTAGCAATATTTAAGAGGTAAGGAATATGCTAGGATTGGAAACATGTTTTCTTTTTAAGATTTTGGTTGAATGTATTATCGTGCTTTGCATACTCATGAAGTTTCTACACTTCCTGGTGGATGCAAGCCTGAAATATGAAGTAATGTGCATATGGAGGCTAACCATTAGACACAGCTATACTTTATTTCTTACTTAATTTGGTGGTTTTCTGAAGTTAACTTCAAAATAGAGAGATAATTGTTAGTTTCTGGAAGCTAACATTGAACAAGTGGTATAAGACCCTTCAACTTCCCTAGAGAATTAGCTGCTGGAGGAGTTTTGAATTTTTAAGGCATATGCTCAATAGTCCATCCTAAAACAATGCCTGCTAACTGCAAAAAATACATGAGACACAGAATATCAATTAAAAAAATCCTTAATTCCCCCACACAGAAATTATCATCCTTTATATTTTGGTGTCTTCTTCCCCTTATTTCTATGGATATTTTTATATAGTTGGGATCATACCGCACCTTCAGTTTTGTACTGTGCTTTTTTTTTCATGTTGTTTTGTTATTACAGACTCTTTAATATTTATGATTTAAAAAAGGATGAGTATTATTACAGTGCATGAATGCTTCATCATCTAGTATTTTCCTAATTTGGGATGTTTATATTCTTTCCGATAACGCTGTTATAAATTGTCCTATAGTGAACATACTTGCGTATAACTATTTTAAGTATTTGAAACTATTTCTATTAGAAGATATTCCTGTAAGTGGAATTTTGGGTCAGGTTTCCAGACTGCTTCTAACTTGTGATCCTGTGGGTTTAGTTGCATTTAGTGAAGTAGGGTGTCTAGCAAAATGGGAAGGGGGATTTCAAAAATCTGGCTAGCAAGGTGTGGCTTTCAACAACCAGCCACAAAAGACATTTTAACATCTGGGAGCACAAGTTTCTATTGATTTCCTTTATTATACGAGGCTCCTCTCACTTGCTTATTACTTTAAATGTACTTAAGAATGATTTTGTTAATTGCAAAAAAAAAGTTTCTTAACACTCATTTGACTTTAAATCTTGACAAAACAATAGCTATCACAATATGGAGCACCTATTGCTATGTTATCTGTTTTAGGTAAATCCTAGGAGGAACCTTATAAGCTAAGCATCATTAGCCCAGTCTTATAGTTAGAGAAGGGAAAGTCGGGGAGCGGGGTTAACCCAGGCAGTAACTGCTAGGATTTGTTACTTAGCACTCCTCAGTGATTTAACCCTAGTGGTCCTTGGCCAAACAGAGCTTGCTAGTAGGTCTGAGTCAAACAAATCTATAAAGGAAGGGAATGTAATTCTGAAAGCTATTCTATGCAGTGGGGTAGAGAGTGTTTTTTGTTTTGAGATTAGGGGGGAAAAAGAGTAGTGGTAAGTTCTGTCTTTCCTCCCTAAAGAGTTTGTGTGATTGGGTTCCAAATAGAGATGAAAGAAGAAGCATGCAAGGTCCTAACTTGAACATTTTAGGACAAGAGAAATACTGACTCCTGCAAATAAAAGAAACCAGACAACTGGTGGAGGGTAAAGAGGGTTACACAAGACTGGTCAGTGAGCCAAAGGAAAGAGGCAAGTGTGAGCTTTTGTGCATATACAAGGTTATACTCAGTGTTTGTGACAAGTATGTGGATTTGGCAATCAGAAAATTTATAAATCTGATAAGTAAAATATATTTGGTAATTATATGACAATTAATGTGAAATTGCTTTTAACGTATATGAGTATTGTTTCTTTTGCTTCTCTCGATTTGATTAGAGTCACCAGCAGCTCATTTCAATAGCCTTTATAATTCTTTTATTAGTTTTAAGTTACATAACAGAGCATGAGTCAAACATATAATGGGACAGAGGCCTTATTTAACTGTCAGCCTTATGCTATGTCACATTTGGAGACTGAATCATTATAATTATTTTAATAAGACCAGTAATCAGAAGTACAGGGTATAGAAAAACTAGCACAGAAACAATATTTGAATCAATATAATATCAAAATGCATAATATTAAATTTAAACTGGAATTGATTTATCATCATTTGAAAAATCACTTTATCGGAATCAATTGACAAATGATAATTATAAGATAAAATTGAGTATTATCAACTTAATAATAGTAAAATCTGTTTCCATTCATTTATTTGTATTAAATATATTTTAGATGTTTATCTATTGGAAAAGAAAAAGTGCATTAGAATTTTATTACATGGGAGCTACCATTCCAATGTACTTTGGTAAACAGTGTTTTATAATTAGCAATTAAAAGCAGACTCTTGTAGAAGTAACTTATGAAAATGAATAGATAAAGTTATTCTTTATCTGACTACATGCATGTGCTAACCTGTACCTTTGGTTTCATGAAGAGAGCTTTTTCATACACATTCTCAAGGATGGTTCTTTTCTTTTAGCTTGAGCAGAAAGTGCAATCTCTGAATCATTCAGCTACTCACAATGTCTTTTTAAATGGCAAGTTCTCTCTTTTGAATCCCCAGATGGCAAGTTCTTCCTGTACTGTGGCTGCAGGTTCATGAGGTCCAGGACAAATGGTCACTGTAATAATTATCAAAAAGCACACAGAAGCACCACCTAAGCAGTTAGGACACTGGCAGGTGATGGGACATCTTAAGTGCAGGGTGCAGAGAAGGCCAGAGATCAGAAAGGTAGATCTTGCATATAGCAAAAATTTGGTGATTAAGGTGATTAAGACCTTGCTACAGAGTAATGCCCAACATTTTTTAAGGTACCAAAAGAAAATACTTCCAATTACATGCTCTATAGAGGAAACTTTTAGCATGTTCCTCATGCCAACAGGCAGTGAGCTTAGCAAAGCTTAGGAGGACAGTCGGCCAGCACCAACCTAGCCGACCCGGTCTGGCGATCAGCTCCAAGATGAGTCACTGGCTTGGTTCAAGGGGAGAAGGAGAATATGGGCTTTTGGATTTTTACAAGGGTGCGATTGCATAACATGCATATTTTAATTTGTGTGAAATTTGAGAACAAAATATTAGAATCAAAAGTAAAAAGAAATCTTATCATAGAACTCTGTTGGTAGCAACAATAATTATCATTGTTTGTATGGGTTTATATTTCCTTCATTTCTAGAAAGCATTTCCAGAAAATGTACTATTTAATTTTCTACTATGAAAAAAACTCCTTTTGTAAGTGAAAAGAGTTCAGGCTTGAGAGCATAGGGAAATGTGTCTAATTTTCAGAATCAGGATCCATATCAGGCCTCAGGGCCTGGACCAGTGCTCTCCATTGCAGGACCTTCTCCAGAATGTCTAATATTTAAGGTGCAATCAAAAGGGAAAGGAGGAGGGTGGAAATCTATAGATTGGGAACAAAAGAATGTCCTAATCTAGAACTCAAATAACACTGTTCTAAAGATAGTGTGTCTGCCACAGCTCAAATAAAATCAAACACAAAATATGTCCTATGAAATAAAATATTATAGAGAAGGGATATGATAGTAAAAGTAAGATATGCTAGGAAACAGGCTTTAGCAGTTCACTGAAAACTCTATTTCATTTGTATTTATTTAACAAGTTATTTCAAAACCAAAAAGCAAACCTAAAAATAAATGAAATCCAAGACCAGATCATTTT